GCATCCGGTTAAGTCAGGTGGTGCAAAAACGCCCCATGGAGTGCGTAAATGGCACTGGGACACGACAAACAAAGAGCTCACACAATGGAATATGAAATAACTATTACTAACTTTCTCAGAAAAAATGTAGTGGTTCTTTATTAAGCGGAAATTGTGAGATGCAAAGACCATGGAGGTCACTCAAAAATGGTAAAATTAATGATCCGTTTATCCTATCACAAGACAAAAGGTGGACACACACTGCATCACTTTCGTGAGTACCAAAATAAACAACTTCAAGGATCTGAGAAAAGACACACTTTATCCAAGCGACAATCAGCACGAAAGTTCTTATTGAGTCCTACTGGAGACGAGACTGCCATTTTACGTGGTGTCTCGAGCGACGCGAAAGTCTAGCTCCAGGGAAGGCAGTACCTTCATTGCTCATTCATTTTATAAACCTAAAGCCCCGTGCAAACGGACGCAACATTGTTGGCCAACAACTCCCAACATTGTTGGATGTTACATGTTGTGTCCGTTTGCACAACCTGTTGCATGTTGTTGGATGTTGTTGCGTGTTGTTGCACAAAGCTTGAAAGCGGTCAAACTTTCCAGCCAACAACTCCCAACATTTCTTTTGTTCCGTGATCGCCGAAGCGTATTGCAACAATGTTGGATCCGTTTGCACAACTCTTCCAACATTGTTGGGGCCGCACACGCGCATTACGTTTGGTTTACAAAGACTTATGGGTTGTATCCTTCCCACGATGCACTGCAGGTCCCAACATTGTTGGGAGTTGTTGCATCCGTTTGCAGGCAGCCTGAATATTGGCCCAGTCTAATAGTAACTGGTTGCACACGAAGCACTTAGGTCTTAAGAATCCGTTTTAAACATGATCGAATTGGACTGTACAAGAGGGGATTATTTGAGGTGAGCAGAAAACCGGAGTACCAGGGAAAAAATTTCTAGGAGCAAGGAAGTGGACCAACAAGAAATACAACCCTCATACGACATTGATAACAATAATAATAACAATACACATTAATGGGAGGTAACTACTACAGTCTCAGTCAGAATTTGGTGAGTTACCTGTGATAAACAACATTGGGAGGGAGTGGAGACGGGTAAGAAGGGAAAAAAAACAGCGTTCAGTGGAAGTGTCCCTCTCTCTCTCTCCACGACATAAAGTAACAACTGAATAGGATGTCAGTCATAGAAGATTGCTTGTCTTCTGTGGTATAATGTCTATAATGACACTTACTACCGGGACTCAGTGATAAAACAGTCTCTTGGGTAGCTTTAGCAACGACGATGGCGACCGTAACCACAAGGTCAAATTAAAAAGAAGCTATAACTGTGAAAAAAAAATTAGGTGCTGATTATATTATATTATACATATTCTCCTTGCGACCACTCTCGTAAGCGAACAGCTCTAGTTAAGGCCACCTTTGTGAAACCCCGTTTGAAGTGTGGCTTAATCTTTGTAATGAAAAGCCCTCTAAAGCGACCACTACCGTGACCGACCACGAACACCTTTGGGATCACCAAACTAGACTTTTCCGTCGTTTTTAAGCTCTCGTAAGGATCCACTCAGAGTCATCGTTGTACTGATACTTAGATTTGTGGAGTATTCTGGTCTAAAAAAAAGACCGAATTGTTTATTTGGTTTTTCGTCGAGGAAAGTGTCGCAAAGAGATTCATCGATGGCTGCGTTTTTGCTGGTTTTTGACAAATTGATGCAGGCTCTTACGGCGGACTACAGGAAAAATCATTTAACCTTTCAAATTTTTAACTATTCATGTTTTTCCACTGCCGCCACAAAATGAAATACAGCTGCTATCAAGATTCTTCAGTTATGGTTGGTTTGTTTATTTGGTTTTTCGGTTGAGGAAAGCGACGCCACGGGATTCAACGAAAGTGATTGTTGAACAGGCAGGGTTTTACAGCAGTGTACAGGAAAGATTCTGACCTCACTTGTTCGCTTTGAGGAGCTGCATCCAAGGCCTAGTGAGCGTGACTAATTATCGCAGTTTTTTTCTCGATTTAGTTTTGAGGTAAAGTCGGACGTAATTATTTCATGTCATGACTTGAGACAGAGACGATGTCAATTACCTCGCGTTAATAAAACACACCAGTTAAATTAATTTTCTGGATGTAAATGGAAAGAAAATTTTTTGGAAAATACCCAGTTCTGGGATTGCCGATAAAAAGTAAGGATAATTACCGGAAGTCTTGCCTCCAGGCTCGTTTAACTATTTTAAACGCCACGCCGGCTAAAAAACAAACTAACAAACACAAAGAACACGCAGATTTTTGGAAACATTTCAGTCACTCTACTTACATGTCTCATACGTTTTGTTCATGTTTTGATTGTCAGTCTTAATTTTGTAAGGAGTTGAGCTTTTCTTTTTTCCTTTCGCAGACCGCGTCAGGTTAAAGCGTGAGTGAAATGTCTGAAAATGGTTTAAGCATGGTGTGTGATTTTCGCCTGTGTTTACAAATTAGAACAGATTCTAAAACGACTACGAGAACGAGATTTTCCCAAAGCAGAGTGCGCTCGCACGAAGCATCATCATTTTGGCGGGAAAATGCGATAGCCATTGTCATTCTACAACGAGTTTTAGCGAGAATGTCGTAGTGGCGAAAAAAGGTTATCAAATGTTAGGAATTTTATCATTTAGCGATCGGGCGAGAGCTTAACCTCCTTCAACGGAATTAAGCGTACTGACTTTTTGGTGAAAAACAAGTACAATGATGCTTTCCGGGGTGCCTGTTTTTAGAGAACAGGCGAGAAAACTCAAAATAAAATGTTGTCCTCGTCCACGAATCTAAAGCTCTTTGTCAACTCATTTTGTTCATTCTCGCCGAAAAGAAAGTATATAAGCGATTTGTGGATTATTTTACCCACAAAATAACTTCGCCTTCTTGTAGTACATAATATTGTTATTGCGTTGTTACGTTTATAATTTATAATTGTTGATGTCGCCGCCCGGTTAGCTCAATGGGATAAGCGCCGGTCTGCTGAGCGGGAGGCCGTAGGTTCAAACCCCGCTCGGACCAACACTCAGGGTCTTTAAATAACTGAGGAGAAAGTGCTGCCTTTGAAATAAGATCTGCAAACAGTTAGATTTTCTCGTCTTCTCGGATAAGGACGATAAACCGTAGGCCCCGTCTCACAAGCCCGCGCACATGTAATAAATCTGTGGGACGTTAAAGAACTCACACACACTTCCTAAAGAGTAGGGCACGTTGTGCCCGGTGTAGTGTCTATCTTACTTTTACGCTCATGTATGGGGGCTTCATTACTCATTCCATCATTACTTGTAAACTGTACCTTAAACAGTCTGGCAAAGTCCCCCAACCAGTGTTGTAAATTATCCCTGAAAAGCCCTGAGGGGAGTGGATAATAAGATATTTACAATAACAATTACAATTTACAATGTCTAGCGCATATTTAGCCGTATTTAAATACACAACACGCAAAATTATGGTTATTCATAGGGGGAAGGTTGAAAAAGTCATCAACCTTCCTGGGTCTTTTCGCCAGAAGAAACAAATAGTACAACTGACAGTAAACGTTACTGAGTATCAGAAATTGTGATGTATAGTCTAAACTCACCAGTTAAAAGGATAGTTTACACGTAACGGTTTGTCGATCTGAATTTGCAAAGACAACATATTCTAAACACAAAATCGCCGCTAATTTACAATTTGGGTAGAACCCTTTTAGACGAAAAGATTGACCTATTAAGTGAAATGGACGCAGCCAAAGAGTTTCGTGAATGATAACTAGGCTTCATTGAAAAATGTCGTGGGCTATTAGCTTCTCAATTGGGTGTGGTTAGGGGTGGGGGGAGGGGGAAGTTTAGTGATGCAGACTCATGGGTAAGAAAACTTTACCAAGACTATTATTGTTATCGGATTTAATTTATAATTTTTTCTTTTTTGTTAATCAGTTTAGTATAAATTACTGGATTTCTTTGCTTAGGTTGAAGCTTATTCGTTTTAATTTTTTGGTTTTAAGTAATTAAAAGTATATAAATGGACGCTTCGCTTTTATCGTTGGCTAACTCTACATATTTGCATATTAATTAAAAATTTTAAGAAAAAAAATAGCGATAATAGTGTTACGGAGACTGTTACTGGAGCCTTATTGTCCTGATTGTAGTATCCATGACGCCAATCTTTTCACTCTTTGAACAACTGAAAACTGTGAGATATTACCGATACATTAATGAGTCTTTAACTACTAAATTTGTCTATGTTAGAGTAGTAGGCATGCTTTAAAGTTATTCAGGCCGGTGGACTTTTGGGCCCTTTTGAGGCCGTCCTGAACTTTGAGGTTGAATAACTTCCACAACATTGAAGTAACGACCATCCGACAAAAAAAAAAAAGTTTCCTTCAATCACCGAAGATCGTGATTTTTGCACCAACTCTGACGTTACTATGGCAACCGAGTTTTGACAGCCACATTTTCAAAATTCTAATAATTTTTCTAAAAAGCGTTCTTTTCCTAGATTTTTTTTTCCATGTGATTGTTTGAGTCTGTCTTTCGGACAATATATAAAGCACTTTACCTGGGAAAGAGATAGTCCTCGAATCGCAGACAGTATGTCGTAAAACAGCTGTTGTTCTCGCAGTTGTCTATCGACAGGAAACTGAAGTGTTACAGCGATGAGATGCGTATCTATAAGTTGTGGGCGGTTAGGTTTTTCTTGACTCCTCTTTATGCAGAGGAAACTGAAAGTTACTTAGCCATGAAATTACAAAGCAAATCGTACCTTATCTGTCCAACCTGTAGTGAGAGGGATATAACAAAACCTTTGAAACAGTGAAAAGAACAACATCGTTCGGATTTCCTCGTTTTACATAATTTAACGCAAGAGAAAATGAGTTGTCCAAATATATAAAAACATAAGCTGTTAGTCACTTGGGTTCGAAGTTCTTTCAAAAAACAAAATGTATAAACAGGTACAAAAAGTTATAAGCAGGGCAACTCTCACTTAGTTATATAGCTTATTACCCCCTAGAAGTCCCTGTTACGCTTTCCCTTTGGATAGTCTGAGTGTCATGTCCCCTGACTGGGCAGCGACACTTAAACGTGTCTTTTATCGCTATTCGAATCTCGGCGACCCGCCAAAAGTAAACCAAGGGATTTAGCGACGAGTTTATAAACGTTATTGTCCCTGTAAACTGCAGCGCAATATATTTGTTCACACTGTTGTCAGTTAGTTGTATAACAATGGCTGTGCAGATGTACGGAAAATAAAAAAGGAATAACAAGAAACAGACGTAAAAAGTGTTGATAGCCGATCTCGTCAATCGAGCAAAATGCATTTGCGATGAAACATGCCGCCGCGCATGAACTTGTGCTTGTGTGTTTATTTGCGTTTGATGTCGCTTGACAACACTGTAGATTCTAGAATACATCAGTACAACGACAAACAATGAAATGGCAAAGGACAATATTGCAGCAAGGTAGTATACTGTAGTGCTTTGTGTCCATACGAAGCCCAGTAAACTTGACATCAGCCAAGAGAGAGCGATAGTAACTATGACTTTCTTATTGGTGACTATGATTGGATATCGCATGTGCAGATGAAATACGAGGTACCTATCCACACTGATGATAGTGGCGGTTGAAAAAGAAGCGGAAGACAAAATCACAGAAAGAACATCGAAGGCATCTTTAAGCGCGCTCGGGCCACCTTTTTCGGTTCCCAGGTAAAAAACGCTCCAAACAACTTGTAGCGGTTGAGTCAGTGAACCGACGAAGAAATCCGTTAAGGCCAGTCCAAAGAGCAGAGTTAAAGATGGCGAATGTAGAGCTGGAGTCCTCCAGATCACGAACATTATGACGCTATTACCAAAAGCAGCTGTGAAAGAGAAACACGCATTGGTAACGCAGTTCACGATAGTATAAGATCTTAGTTTCACGATGTCGTCCTCACTTATAGACAAGTTGGGGTAACCATAACTCAGTTTGAAGTTCTCCATGTTAAATATATAACTCACAGAATAGTAAGAAGAGGAATTAATAATAATGCAAGCAATCGTTTTTAAGGCCAATATGTACCGCAGTTAAACGATTATGGAAATTCTCTTCACCTGTCAGCGTAAGAACAGCGTGTGATTGATCAATTTATTTGATTAAAATTTTTGCATTCAGTTATGAGGAAAGATAATTATCACTTGAAACAAAAAACTCTTTGCTCAAAACACCTTTGCTTTAATAAGGTAGACTAGTTAAGAATTTTGGTGTAAGTTAGCATTGAAAACTCATAGATTACAAACGAAAAACTGATACTAATTCAAGACTATTCTTCAACGCCAAAGCACCATCTAGTTTTATTAAACTTAAGAACCTTGGGTAAACTGATGGCCTTAGATGGCCGCAAAGCAATCGAAAAGATCGTTTTATATCCCAGTAGCCGTGCCTAGCACCAAAGACGTTAAACAAAATGTTTACTATAACTTTAATAGCAACTTACGGTAGGTCTGTTCTTTTTTCTTTTGAAATTTAGATTAAAATTTATAGTAAATTAAACATTGTGTATTTTATACCGACTAATATCGGTTATAACATATTATACTGATTTCTACATCTTAATTTAGGTATGTTGCAGGGCATAAAAACAAGAGAAAGCTAAGTGCGTTTTTACTTCAAATAAGTATGGTTGAATGAAAAGTGACTCTTATGACGTTTATTCACAGAATAAATACTTGATATTAATATTGAAAAGCAGTCTATGTTTGCTTTTCTTATGGGAAAACGAAACATACATAATTAAAGAGACAGTTGCAGCTGCCAAAGGGACGTTCAGTTCACGAGACAGAAATAGTTAAGTTTTCACAGAAAAGTCGCTTATTTTTCCACACACATTTTCTGTTTTGTTCATGATACATTTCCTTTGCTAATACAAGGGAGAGTTTTTTTTTTAAATGAATATTATCATGTTTTATTTTGTATGAAGTTTCTTAGTACTCATGGCCTATGATTGCTCTAACGGGGAGATTGTGTTGGAATTAATCATAACACATTAGTGGATATTATCAGGAAACCACTACTAAACGTCTCACGTCTATTATACTCTTACTATTTGTAGCTTAAAAGCTCGTTTTGGTTTCATTTTGAAGAAGTTGAGCAAACAGCCGGCTTAACAGATGAACTTTCTCAATTTACTGTCAATCATAAATCATATATTAGTTCTGGAAACAAAACTATCCCTCGAGGCAATAAATTTCAAAATGTTTTCTACCCAGTAAATGAGAATAGGAAGATCAAGTTTTACATTGTGAAAAAGAAAAAAAAAATGACTGTTCCCAAAAAGCATGGTGAACTACCATTTAAAATTGACTTTTGTACGGTAGAGCATAGTTAGTAGAGGAGAATGGTTATGAAAGGCGGCAAACATCAATTATAAAAACAGCGATGCTCAAAGTTTATGTTGGTGGCTCCATGACGGTGCACAAACCTTTGTTTTCTGTCGGCAAAGTGTATGGAATAAATTAATGCCACGTTTTTATTGGTCAACACAATTAAAATGTTCGGAGTGCTAATGAACGTTGTGCACCTTCAGGTCCGCAAAAACATATAACTAAGGAGTCTGACGGGTTTCATAACCATTGCACTCCATTAACTATGGGTAGAGCGATTGTACTGTCGCACTTTGTAATATTCGTCGCACTTTGTAATACCTGTCGCACTTTGTAATAAAATTGTCACACTTTGTAATACCTGTCGCACTTTGTAATAACACTTGTCGCACTTTGTAATAAAATAAATACTTGATATTAATATTGAAAAGCAGTCTATGTTTGCTTTTCTTATGGGAAAACGAAACATACATAATTAAAGAGACAGTTGCAGCTGCCAAAGGGACGTTCAGTTCACGAGACAAAAATAGTTAAGTTTTCACAGAAAAGTCGCTTATTTTTCCACACACATTTTCTGTTTTGTTCATGATACATTTCCTTTGCTAATACAAGGGAGAGTTTGTTTTTAAATGAATATTATCATCTTTTATTTTGTATGAAGTTTCTTAGTACTCATGGCCTATGTTTGCTTTCACAGGGAGATTGTGTTGGAATTAATCATAACACATTAGTGGATATTATCAGGAAACCACTACTAAACGTCTCACGTTTATTATACTCTTACTATTTGTAGCTTAAAAGCTCGTTTTGGTTTCATTTTGAAGAAGTTGAGTAAACAGCCGGCTTAACGATTAACATTCTCAATTTACTGTAAATCATAAATCATATATTAGTTCTGGAAACAAAACTACCCCTCAAGGCGAATACGAACATCAAGTTTTACATTGTGAAAAAAGAAAAAAAAAATGACTGTTCCCAAAAATCATGGTGAACTACTATTTAAAATTGACTTTTGTACGGTAGAGCATAGTTAGTAGAGGAGAATGGTTATGAAAGGCGGCAAACATCAATTATAAAAACAGCGATGCTCAAAGTTAATGTTGGTAGCTCCATGACGGTGCACAAACCTTTCTTTTCTGTCGGAAAATTGTGATGGAATAGATTAATGCCACGTTTTTATTGGTGAATACGATGAAAATGTTCAGAATGCTAATGAACGTTGTGCACCTTCAGCTCCGCAAAAACATATAACTAAGGAGTCTGACGGGTTTCATAACCATTGCACTCCATTAACTATGGGTAGAGCGATTCTTTATCTCGATACCAGTACCAATGGTAAATTTTTACCACCAAAAATACATTTGATATTTCATGAATTTAAAGATAATTTCCAGTAGATGTAACCTCTCTGCGGACAGGGAGATCGTTTTTGTTTGCGATTCAAAGTATTAGTCAGATAAAAAAAACCTTGTAGATAGTCTCCTGGAAGGCGTTGCAAGAGGTAGGGTAGAAATGGAAAAAAGAGAGCGGGAATATTGCCCCACTCACCCATCTCCTCTTTCTGCACCTGCCACGTTTAGTTTACTTAAATAAAGGAATATACAGTGATTATCAGGAGGGGGAACTGGTATGAGTACAATTTGGCAAAAGATTAACTTGAACCATCTTCCCCAGCGTATGAAGGCTCAAATAGCTCCCCTCCCTCCACGTTAACGCCGACAAATAAGCCAAGTCTTTCAAAGTTTCTTTTTTTCTTACTTAAATGAAGCTTTATGGCAAAAATAAGTAAGAAATTATGAACTAAAAACTTAACTAATGTAAACTACAGGTTAAAAGTTTAAAATGTAAAATAGAATATAAAAATATAAGAGATAAAAAAACCTTGTTAATAGCCTCCTTTAAGGGCATCGCAGAGGTTGAGAAGAAAAGGAAAAGGAAGGGAGAACTCCCCCCTCCCCCTAATCTCTCCTTTTAGCACCTGTCACTTTAGTAATGGAGTATGTAATAATTATCGAGGGATGGGGAGGGGGCTCTGGTATGAGTTCCTATTAGGCAAAAGGTTAACCTTAAGCCGAGTCTTTTGAAGTGTCTACACTGGAGTTTTGTGATGCAAATATAGACTGACAAAAATTCAGTGAATCAAGAATTTTAGAAAGAAATGTTTTGCTTGCCTTCCGAAGAGCCGCAGATGTGTGGCGAAAAGATCAAGTGTCACGTTCAAGTTACCGACCTACTACAGCCGGGGAATACTAACGGAAGCGAACGAAAACGACATTGAATCGAAGATTGCCGTATTTCAAGATCCTAAATTGTGAGAGGTTAATTGAACCCGATTCGTCGCGACTTTGATGGGTGAGAAGGAAGGAAATAAAATGTGCAAGAAACGCATAATTATTTCTAGTTATTACCTCACATTAAAAAGTATAAGAAGATTTAAAGAGAAGCCATCTGTCCGACGTAAAAAGTCGTCTATGATTTGGCTGGCCTAAAAAGTGCTGAGCTTAAACAAGAAGTTGAGCAAGGTTCAACTTTTACGCGTACGATCGGCGACCCTTCATGTATTGCCTCTATTTTATTTGCGAACGAAAATTTTACGCACGTACGCATATACAAATTACGCGACACTAGAAATCAACCCTAAAAGAGAAGACTTTGTGTGTGTGGTTACCCCTATTCGCTGAATGTGAGACCACAGTGAAGACGGAAAAATGACAATGCATGTGTTAATATTTTCTTTTCCCCAGAATATCATATACCAACTACTTTTAAAATATCCGGCATTCAAATAAGTACATTAAAACAAGCGATCAAGGTATATTAAAAATGTTAATCATTTTATCCAAGAAACGTTAATTTTGTCCCCAAAATTGACACGTGCGAACCCGTGTAACAGTATGTACGTAGTTGGTGATCGTACTAGACCCCCTCTACCCCCTCTACCAATGTATGTACCTTGCACCTTTTGCGAGTTTGTATTCTAGATGATCCCAGTTCGTAACATTTACACTGCAAAACATCGATCGAATCTGCCCTATGGTTCTATGAATAATAGGAGACGGTACAATGGACCATATACAGCGTACCTTCTTGAAATCCATGACGACAGATTTTCTTTGTAAACTAGTTGCTGATCTTATGGAACAAGAAGAAATTTTTGGATATCCTTCACTGCCACACATCTATTATGAAAAATCACTTGACACCAGTTTAGCTTCCAATCAGTTGTCGTCAATGCGCCTGTGTTATAATCAGGGATGATTTCAAGCTCTGAATTAATAAATATATAGCAAACTTAGCCTGAAATTCATCCGATTGCTTCGAGTCGTTTTCTCCTCTCAACAACGTCTGAATCGACCGGCCGTTAATGCCGTCCAGTGACGTCACTCACTACCCGAAAACCGGGTAGTGATTTTGATTGGTTGATTGTCTAAACATTCGCATAATTATGTATAATTATGAAAAATTTTAGCGGGATTGTCATTTGATATTCAGCGGATCGCATCCCTGGCATTCTTTCAGTTCTTTCGGTTAGTTCAAACATTTCTATGAGCTTAATCTTTATCTTAAACAGCAAAATTGCCCTTGTCTTCGAAACTGAAATGTTAAATTGAACTGCAAAT